CGAGGGACGGCCAGGGCCCACGAGTGTCCGGGGCAGGGCGAGGGACGGCCAGGGCCCACGGGTGTCCGGGGCAGGACGAGGGCCGTTCAGGACCTACGGGTGTCCGGGGCAGGGCGAGGGACGGCCAGGACCCACGGGTGTCCGGGGCAGGGTGAGGGACGGTCAGGCCCACAGGCACCAGGGGCAGGGCGAGGGGCTGCGGGGCTGGCCTCCCAGTACAGCTGGTCCCAGCTGCCCGAGTCCCCGATGCTGAGAAGGTGCTGCCAGGTGAGGACTCAGGCCAGGGCAGAGGGACAGCTGTACAAGGGCCCTGAGGAAGCACGGGCTTGGTGTGGCTCGAGGGTGACCTGGAAGGCCGGAGTGGCCAGAGCCAGGAGAGTGAAGGCCCACAGGGCCACGTGGCTGCTGGGCACCCCGTGGCCTTCTCAGCCATTCTGAGCTGGACGTCTCCCGCAGGACCGAGTTGGGTGGACCCTGCAGGAACCTCTGGGGCAGGCGGCAGAGGGGGGCGCTCGCCCTCTGAGGAATGTCCCGGTGCATTCCTTGGGAGCCCACAGCGGTAACCCGTGCCCACCTGCTCTGCTCGCCAACCCCTGCACCACACCCCTGCCTCAGGCTCGGCCTTTGGGGGCCTAGACTAAGGCAGTGAAGGAGAAGGGCGGGCCACGTCAGCCTTCCCCCGACCACCGCGTCATTAAAGTCACCCGCCTGGACAGTGTCGACGGAGGAAGCGAAGAGAGGGGACAAAGTGTCCCAGGACAGCCCCAGAAGAAGAGGAGCATAAGGGAGGCTGGGAAACCTGGCCGGAACTGTGGGGCGCCGGGGGGAGAGGACGGCCTTCTAGAAGGAGCAGGCGCCAAGGGCGCTGGGGTGGGAGAGGCAGCTGGCCCAGGGAAGGGGTGCTCAGAGGACTGCACCAAGGCCCACAAGGGCCCTCCCAGCCGGGCGCCAGCACCCGGCTCTTCCTGGCAGCTGGCCCCTGGGGTCCCGAGAGCCGGCGCATGGGCTCCCGCTGCCTGTTCTAGGCCGAGACAGGACCCGTCTGCTGGCGGTCACGCGGCGACTCCCACCTGGCACTCAGGAGGCCCCGCGGCCTCAGCAGCCACCCCTGCCGCAGGTATTCTGAGCAGAGCGTCGGGCACCTCTCCGGGGAAATTTGCTGACTCTGGCGCTCGGTCAGCTGGCGGGAGGGCAGCCTGGGTGCAGCCGGGCCTGTGGCCTGGAACCGGGGCGCGGGGCTCAGAGCGCCAGCCACGGCAGCCCTGTGCGATGGCACCCATGCCCACCCGCGCTCTGGGAGGAGGGGTACCCTCGGCCGCCTGGACTTCGGGGCTGAGCATGCCCTTCATCCGGGCAGCGGCCCCCTGGCCGTGGGTGGCCCCGCTCAGCCGGCCATGCCGGCCCCACCGCGCAGCGCAGAGCCGTGTCACTCCCCCAGTCCTCCCAGCCCCGGCGCGCTCTCCCTCCTGTCTCCCTGACCACCCGCGGGCCCTCCTGGGAGTGGGGTCTCCCGGGGCCCGGCCTGCGGCTGGCTCCCTCCTGACTGTCCTCGCCGCCATCCGACTGGGGCCAGCGCTGGACGCCGTCCTCACTAAGGCTGAGCCGCAGTCCCTGGCCCGCGGCCATGGGTGGGGCTGCCCGTCCCCCGTGGCGCCTGGCATCCTGAGCGTGTTCCCATAGTCGCCCCGTCTTCCAGTGTGGGTCCCGGGAAGCAGGTGCCGAGCCCCGTTTCCCTGCTCCGCACCCCGGCCTGCACACCTCTGGGGCTGAGGCCATCTCTCAGCCTTCCCTGGCTGTGTCTGACTGCATCGCTGGAGGGGAGCAGTTCAGGATGTTGCCCCTCTAAAGCACCCCCCAAGAGGGGACCCAGACCTGGCCTCACCCCGCCCTCCCCTAACGGCCCAGAGAAGCCTTCCAGAGAGCAGAGGGGCAGTGTTGTGGGGCCCACGCCCAGCTGTCCCCTGCAAGCCCCAGGCCACGCCAGGCTGGACCAGGAGCCCGGGCCAGGGTGGGGCTCCTGGAGGCTGGGGAGGGTCCCTGCTCTGTGGACACAGGCTGGCCCAGAAGGCTCCCAGCTTCCAGGCAGTTGAGCCAGGGCAGAGCTGGCCCGTCAGCTGACCCGGCTGTGTGCTGAATCTTTCCCCCAGGGAGCCCGGCCGCACCCCACTCCCTGGCTCAAGGGCTTGGCCTGGCTGCGCTCCCGGGATGCTGGGGCTCTGGGGCCAACTCCAACTGGACTCCCAAGGGGCTCAGCCCCCCGCAGTCCGGTGACCCAGGCTTGCCGGATTCCTGAGCCTGTTTTCTCCTCCAGAACTCAGGCTAAGAATAGCAGCTACCTGGGGAGGAGGCACTGCCAGAAAGGGCCAGCCTCTTGGCACCCAGGGCCTTCCTGGCCCACTCGGCACGGCCCTGGACACGAACCCTCAGTGCCTTCAGGGCCAGGCGGGCAGGAGCCCCACGGTCTGCACACGCAGGTGTCAACAACAGCCACACGACCCGCGGGTGGACACGCTACCCACAGCAACTGGCTCTCTGTGACGTGACGGCCCAGACGTAGGCCCCCAGCCACCCGCTCCCGTTGCGCTGCACCTGGCTCCTGTCAGCAGGACACTGGGCACTGGGGCAGCTGCCGGCTGCCACCCGCAGCCGGGGATCTCGGTGCTGGCACCCGGACCAGACCCCACAAGGAGTCTTAGTCTGCTTCGTCAGGTGCACTGGGACCCCAGGGGTCCTGGTGCCCGGGGTGTCCCCATCTGACACACCAGGTGAGGTGTGACAAGCCAGGAGCTTCCTGTCCCTGGTGGTACGACTGGAGTGGATCCCAAAATCTGGTCTCCGGAAAATTCCAAGGCCTGGTTCCAGCCACAGAGAGCCCTGCTAACCCCTCCCCACTCACTGCTTACGTAACTCAGTGGTCAGTACCACCCTCCATGCGCTGCTGCCTGGGTTCAAATCCAGGCTGTCCATGCCTCTCCGGGCAGGTGGCTTTGCCTCCTCAGCCTCTGCATTCTCACCTGTAAAGTGGGCACAAGGCCAGTTCCTGGGTCCTGGCACCCGTGAGAGTGAAGTAGGTCACACGGGAAAGGGGTCAGAGCTGGCCTGGAGAATCGCTCAGAGGGCCCCCCTGTGGCTGGGCCCTCAGCCTGCCCACGGCTTCTCATCCGGGCTGCCAGCTCAGGGACAGCCCCACCTGCCTGTCCAAACCAGGAGCTGGGACCCCCAGTGGCCACCACCGCCTGTCCTCTGCTCACAGACCGACGGCCACCCTGTGGCCAGCCCAGGCCTGTCTCCTAGCAAGGTGGCTGCCACAGGCCTCCCCTCCGGCCCCAGCCCTAGAGACAGGGGCCTCCCTCGGGCTCTGAACCCTGCCTGGCTCCCCGTGCCCCAGGTGATCGGTCCTCCCTTACCAGGTGCAGGACCCACAGCCAGACCTTGGAAACGCTAGACTCACGCGTCACCCGCACTTTGCGGGGAATCCCTGTCCCCCTAAGTTCTCAACCCCACCGCGAGAGCGCATGTTCCCCGCGCCGAGAAATGGGCGCGTTCACAGTACCGGGCCAGCCCGGAGGCGCCGGGCCAGAGGAGCCAAGGGCTGCCCGCGGAGCGTGTGCGCCGCCCTGGTCCCTGGCCCCGCGCCAGCCCCGGCCTCCCCGCTGGCC